TGGTGTGATCATTGGATTTGCTATTGGTTTTGGTCTACGAGAACTACCCGAGATTAGTGAAACTCTTATAGTTTGGATTTGTAAGTTTGGATATCTATTGCATAAGTGAATCTGATATGCTCGATTCTGCATGCTTAGGCTTCCTCATTTATTTATTTAGCAATGCCTGGAGATATTTACATTCGTCTTCTGAAGTTGACAATTCTTCCACTTATTGCCTCAAATGTTATAATCGGTAAGATATACAAGTCAATCACGCTTATAGTATGGTTGCAATGGGCTATCAAAATTTGCGATTAATTTATTTGAAGAACATCTAAAATTCATTTTAGATACTTTCACTTTACGAGGGAAAGAAAACAGAAAGAGATCTAATATTGATTTTTTGCCTTTATTCTAATTTTCGAATATAAGGAGCAAAAAGGTACAGAAGTGGAACGTTTGCTTTGAAAATAGAAAAATATTACCTCAACCACTAGCTTAAGGGCAGTACGAATTTTCGTATGCTAAAAATGCATTAAAATGCAATAAAATTGTAATTAGACGAATTTGAACGACAAACAAGCTCTGAAAATAAAGTTTTCATGTCTTTGCAATTATAAATATTTATTATTTAAACGCTTTTTCATGGTCCATTAAATTACTTTGGTTGTTAAATCATTTATTTTAGCTTAAAGTTTATTAAAACGGTTTCGTTTTAGTCATCGCTAAACTGGACCCTAAGGAGAATGGCAAAATCAGTTTGATATCTTTCCTGTATATACTACTCTTTAACATTCTTGGATCTAGTATTGGCGCGGCTGCAGCAATGGCGATTGGCCCAGGTAGATACTTTCTATTCAAATTTATCATCTGAACTACCCTCTTCATGACTAATGTGTCAATAGGAAAAACCCTTGATTGACGGATAACCAATGAAATGGTGACATTAATAAAGGATTTTAAATAGTATGATATTTTAGGGTTGGTGGGAAAGCAAAATATATAGGCGTCTATTGCGAGGAATCATCTGAAAACGTTAAATGTCAAAATAGTTCCTCTAGAAATGGAACCTGTGTGTGGAGTGTGGGTTGGTGTCCACTTTCTGAAACAGCAACATGTTCTCTTCCTCTTGATAAAATATGAGTGTTTCCAAGTTCATATTTTGTGAGATGATCCTGGGAGTTTGCTTCATACAGAGCTTGTTGATTGTCTGATTTATTGGAGAGGTTCACTGGCAACTATGAGCAGGAATCTTCATCGTTTAACTTATGAAAATTGTACGAGTAATTATTTAAATTAATTTGAAGGTCGATTTGCTCAAAATCCACCCATCGAAGAACCATCAACTGTGGAGAAGAAATCAGCAACTACTTCTGATGTGTTTGCTGATTTATTTTTGTAAGTCGTTTTACTATGATCGTTTTGCCTTTTCCTTCAAATGTTTCAATGTTTAATGACGCTCTGTTTTATTAACTTAGAAATATATTCCCAGATAATATCGTCGGGATTTCAATCTATCAGGTATCATAATGTTCGAATTATTTTCGAAAGAATGTCTTAATGCCCACATATCTGATAAACTCAATTTAAACGGGTAAGATCAATATCAATAAGTCGGGGTTCGAGCGGTATTTATTAAGTGATTCAAATAGATTTAAAGTTGAAATAGTTTTAGTGACTCATCCATGGACTTAATTTTAAGTTGAAATTAAATAAAGCTCTTATATACACAGACTTCATCCTTGATAGAGACTAATGTAGTACCCGAATAAAAGATAGAAAAAATTGAATATTGAATTGAGAGAACAGGAGGTGATTCTTCGTTGACTAATTGAAGAGAAAATATCGGCTCATATCGACCATCACATAAAACAGAGTTCATGTACAGAAAGAAGAGAAATAAATAGAGAACCATTGAAAATCGATAATCAGATCACAATAAGAAGCAGTATTGATAATGAATAATTCTAACATTTATTACGATTTATCTTCTCCTTGCAGGTTCTTACTACTTACGTATATAAGGGGAAAGACAATGTCACAAATGAAGCAATATTCGAAAGAGTCGTAGGCACTGATTCTGGCACAAACATGATTGGTAATTTGGTCTCCTTTGTACATCAGAATCGATATACTTGACAATTGCAGATCATATACACAGAACCGCCATGACTGAATTTATCTCAAAGAGTGTCGGAAGAAATAATCACTGTACTTTACTGAGCCAGTAGAAGCTTGGCCATCTGCATATTAGTGAAGCCGCTAGCTGAAAACACACGGTAGCTTAAGATCAACACAAGTTCGTCCGCATATTTCCCTGTTACGAGACAATGTGCGCTCTCGGACAAACTGAATGCAGAAATACCGCTGAGGTTTTCCTAATTGGTCTAATTTGTCATCTCAGAAGTAGGACAAAATATGCCAAATTATTGAACTGAGCTGTCTTCATATATCACATCTTTACTTGACCCCAACTGTTAAATTTAAAAGTTCGTGCAGTAAGCATGTGGTTAGGAATGGCAAACTAAGTAAGAAGTTTGAATCACGACACGTAAGCATTGATTTGTCTCTGCGTTACTAAATAAAAGCAATTTCCTGCTTATAAACATCTAGATAAATTGAGATGATTGAGATATTATTTCAATACATTTTACCTCGGAAAATCACAATAGTAGCAAATAGAGATTATATAATTGCAGAGCTCTTTGAAATTCACCCAAGTTGAGCTACAGTGACTCAAAAGTTATTGAAATAATTGCCTTTTCCTCTTACTACTATCATAGGAGTTATTTTCACATGTGTGGCATTTGGACTGGCTGCAAGCGGTGCAAAGGAAAAGGGAGTTCCTTTTCTGGAATTCTTCGCATCTGTCGCTGAAGTGGTATTAAAGCTCATTCGAGCATTTCTTCAGTGAGTTATAATTTTATATTTATTTTTTGGTTCAACTTCGTAGTGAAATTAAAATGTATGTGTAAGTTAACGGCGTACATTACTATGCTGCTTTTTGCATTTAAAAATCTAGTTATCATACAATACATGACATATGAGAGAGCAAAATTCTTAAGTAAAGCAGTTCTCGATTTTTTATAAAAATAAATCACGGAAAAATGTGTTAAAGTCTCTAGATAATGTTGAAATATTAAAACAAACTTATCATTATTATTACTATTCTTGAATGCAGTGAGTTGCAGTTTTTTTCAAAATTAACATATATAAGTTCTAATTGGGAATAAATAGCTAGCAGAAGTTTCCGTATAGACTTCGAAAAATTATTTGTCGCATTAGTTGCTGATATTAATAATAAATGAAGTTATTAGAAATTCTATAGTTTTTTACTCTTAAATTGGTTGAAATATTAGGAAATTAATAGGTGAAAATTTCGCTTTTTCTAGTCCCACGTTTTAAATTAGCCAACAAATCTTTTCAACTTCTAAGTAAAAATAATAATTTTACACAATTCTGACTTAAATGTAATTTTGCCAGAATCACTCCAATCGGTGTTTGTTTCATGATTGCCGGTTCTGTTGTCAAGGTGGATGATATTGTGGGCAGTTTCGCAAAGTTGGGCCTATTCGTTGCCACCGTAGTAGTGTCAGTTGCGGCACTAATGGTCCTTGAATGGCTCTTCTACTTTGTTTGTACTCGAAGAAATCCCTTCCAACCAATTAAATATCTTATGAGAGCCTGGTTCATCGTCTTTGCCACTACCAGCGCGTAAGTTTCCTGGGTTTGATTTTTTGGCCAAATTGGTCAATCAAATTGATTTAATAATAAAAAAGGCAAAATCAATGCTTTCTTTTAACGAACTGGTTAAAGCACCTATTTACCTTAATTTTATCCATAAAGCACAAAGTTAGCTATTTAAAAGAAGGGAACTATATATGCATGACGAAAATAGAAGACGCTTCAAATTAGAGTTTAGTGAGAATAAACGCGAAATTGTGAATGATGCCGGGTATAATAAATTAATTTTACTTAATTCAAATTTTGAATCCACAGCGTTTTCCATTTTTACTAACATCATCTAGAGACTAACTGATAGGTCATACCACAAATAATTAGAGCTGGTTGTCTTGCAGGTGAAATTGAATTGATTGATTGTCCACGACGATTTAATATAGCGATAATTTGCAAATTGTTCTGAGCAAAATTATGAGCGAAATGATATTGCCAAAAAAACATTTTAAATTACATACTGCATTGTGAAGAGTTGGATTAACATTTTGAAGCATTTTTTGCAGCCACCAAAATTAGCAAGTGAGACAATGAGCTCCGTACACATTGACGATGGAACATGAATTCTTCCACGAAACAGTGGATGATTCCTGAAATTAAGAAATTGGCACATTTGGCAATGAAGTGGTGAACTATGCTCAATAGTAAAAGGTTTAAAAGCTTGGTCTAAAAGATTTAGTGATAGTTTAGCCTTTACTGGATCTAATTCCATTCAAATGAACTGAATCGTTTGATTATTCGGCATGCTTAGGAATTTTTTCACTTCAAGAGTTTATATTTATACTTTTGTTATAAATGATACTTTCACTTTACTTTTACTTTCATTTTTGTTATTTTTTCATAATAGTTTTATTAATTTCATGCCAAAATGACGACTGACACAAATTTATATATGCATTTGTCTATGAAATATTCCTGCAAATTTTAGATGGGAATTTAGCAACAACAAATTTTAAAAGATTAAATGTCGAGATCTGTTTCAAAACTGAAATATTATCGTATTTCTTCCGTTTATCTCAAATAATCAGATCTCAATGTCAGGTACACTCACTCTCCCTATTAGTAGGAATAGCTCATTAAATGAAGAAAGCAATTTTGAATTGAACCGACCAATCGAATCTTTTTCGAATAACTTACTACAATTTGAGTTACGAAATTGATACTTAAGCAGTATCGCACTCGTTTGCAAAGCGGTCATTTCAAGTCTCCCATTTGTATCCTAACCATTTTGAAGCTTCTTCTATTGGAAGCTTCCCCGTGAGTCCTGGTTCTTCAGTTTCAGTCGCACGAGATTGCATGCATTTTAATGGTTACCTTCACAAGGGTTATTGATGTCATTCTGACACACAAATACTCAACCACTCTTATATTTACTTGAAATTGATTTTCACATTTTTAATTTATGCTTTTCTTTGCCGAAGTTTATGGAGAAAGAAATAAATGTTGATGAGATGTTTAAATTTAATTGAATGCAAAACACAAATGCAAAATCTACATAATTTATAACATCTTAAGTATTGGGTTCGTGTCGAATAAGCTACCTTATTTTATTCACAGAATCGTAGGAGTGCCCGAGACGATCGAAGGTTGTGATGAAATGGGAATTCGAAAGGGGACTTCCCGATTTGTGGCACCACTTGCAGCCACGCTAAAAGCCGACGGTTCAGCCATCTTTATCTCAGCCGCTTCTATCTTCATTGCACAAATGGAAGGCATCGGTGACAACGCCGGAAAAATTGTCGTCATTTGGTGAGAAATTTTATAAATTTATTTATTTCAAATGGCAGGCGTTATGACAGGTATCATTAGCCCTTTAGTTGACTTCGGGCATCACAGAATGAAAGAGGAACATCAAAGTGATAAGAAGTCGAGAGGGGGACAGAATAATGATTCACAGACGTAAACCGAGAGGGGGACAGAATAATGATTCACAGACGTAAAAGAGCAAGATGGGGGACAGAATAATGATTCACAGACGTAAAAGAGAAGGGGAGGGGGGACAGAATAATGATTCACAGACGTAAAAGAGACAGAGCAGACACAAAGGTAGAAAAAAGGTGAGTTGAATACTGTGGAAGGGTTGGGATCAGAAGAGCGATTCACAGATGTAAAAGAGGCAGACAGAACAGAAGAGCGTTTCACAGATGTAAAAGAGGCAGACAGGGAAACAGAAGAGCGATTCACGGATGTAAAAGAGGCAGACAGATGACAGAATAATGATTCACAGACGTAAAAGAGACAGACAGATATGACACAAAGTTATAAAAAAGGTAAGATGAGTACTGTGAAAGGGGGCGAATCGAAGGTAGAAATTAGGTGAGGTGAGTACTGCGGAATTAGCCGAATATGAAATGTGGTGGGGTCTTGGTAGTTTGAAGTGAGAAGTCAACTGCCAGTTTATAGACTTTTTTGCCGTATGAATATACGTAGCCCAGGGTGCACCACGTGGAGGTAAGTCTATCACACGTCCCAAAATAGCAAATATAATAGAGGGGAAAGTGTACCGACAAAATAATTAATTAGAATTCAACATCCGATACACCATGCGCATTTTATAAATTTACTTATCTTCTCCCTTTCATGCCTCAGTGCCCATTTCTCTGAAGTGACGAACTCATGGCGTCGCGATATTTCAGAATTTTGAAATGTCTAGGAACTAGTAATGTGCTCTAAGCTAGGTATTTAGACAGCCAACCAAAGCCTGCCACAAAATTTAGTCTACATTCAATAAATATGCAATAGTTTTTCTAACTGTAAAATGAAGTACATACCTCTTGACGAAAGTAGACTTATTATTAAATTTAGTTTCAAATCTAGTTTGATTGGAATTGATAAGTAATGCTAAAGGAATCAGGAAACTTTCATTACCAATTTCTTTTTAGCTGCCTGGGTTTCGATATTTTATTTTAAACGACTAATGAATTCTATGTGAATCCTATCTTCATAATAACAGGAAGATGGTTTTTACTAATAATAATATTTTTGGTTTTCTCTACCTTCCAATAGTTTCAGTAGCCAATAGAAGGATAGATCCATGCCAATTCTACTTGCTTATCTGTAATGGCCATTCAAATCACCTCACAATTCTTCTTAAAGAGGGAGAGATATATATTCGCTATTATTTTACCAAATTCTCCTTTTTTCCTCAAAATCAAAATAGACTTAGTTCTACCTTTCTAATATTTCATGAAGAAATTCTCCACGACTGGACTTCAATGAAAATAGGACAGTTTGGAAGGAAATAGGAAATAGTAGTTGTTAAAGTTAAAATGCTTTTATTCAATTTGGATATAGCTATTATTGCTCAATCATAACTTGAATTTATTCATTTTCAAATTTCATTAAATAGAAGTCAGTTTATTGCTAAGAGAAATCGATTAAGTTGCTTACTTTTCTTGTCCCGTCAAAAAATCTAACATCTTGATGTAATATTTTATTGATCATTTGCCAAATTTTCTGCATAAAAGAAGATGCTTGCTAGAATTCATTTAAAAATGAAGAAATCAGACCTGTCAAGCTGATTTAAATGACACTCATTTTGAAGCTCATGATGATGGTAATAATTGATCTGTGGGGCAAAAAATGCCACACAGAAGGGAGGTTTCCGAGCTTACAGGGTGTGTTTAAAGGGTGAGAGAATGATCGGACCATTACTTCTAAATTATCCCTTTGGTTTGAGGGCAGTAACTCTTTAAAAGGGCGTATCAAAGGTGTATCGAGGTTAGTTGCATGCAACTTTGAAACTGGAAGATTGTGCGGGCCAATCTAAATGCATTACATTTAATTATTTTAAACCCTCACCATATTAACGTAGAAAATGTGTGTATCTTAAATAAGGAATATCATAGATTTGTTGAAATTCAAAAGCACTTAATGACCTATTTCTGCGCCATAATTTTAATTATTTTCTTTCGATTATCAAAACATTTACATTTTTAGTGATTTCAAATTTATAAGCATAATATAAAACTGCACCTTAAAGTAAAATTTATATTTTTGATTATTAGTCATGTAAGATCAATTGAAATGCTTCCTAAATAATTGCCCAATATAGGTAGCTAAGTCGAATCGGTTTGGCCTGGAAAGTTTACACGCTCTTTAATCTAAGCTAGAACTTGACTAAGTTGGACTTAGAGCCTTTCCTTTGCAAATCTAATAATTTACTTTAACTATAAAAGGGTGCAACAACCTTCCCAGGTTATAAGATCAAGCCTTAAGTAGGAACATAGGAGAAGTGAAGGATGGGAAATTTGGAAGATGAGTAGGAAATTGGAAGGGAAGGCGAATGAAACTCGCATCGTAATAAAGAGGACATATCTAAGTTGATTTGGGGGGATAGACGTATTTCGCTCACCTTGGCCCTTGATGAGTCGTTAACAGAAAAAATTTATTTATTTATATCAAATTGCAGGCGTCTTGATGATTATCATTAACCCTTTAGTTGACTTCAGGCTTCACAGAGGGGAAGAAACATCAAATTGAAAAAGTCGACAGGGGGGGGGAACAGAAGAGTGTTTCAAAGATGTAAGAGACAAACACAAAGGTAGAACAAAGGTGAGGTGAGTACTGTGGAAATAGTCGAATATGGCATAGAGTGAGGTAATGGTAGTTTGGAGTGAGAAGTCAACTGCCAGTCAATAGACTTTTTTGCCGTATGAATAAACGTTGCCCAGGGTGCACCACGTGGAGGTAAGTCTATCGCACACCCCTTAACAGAAATAATAGCGAACAATTAGGAGGAGTAGAGGCATGACATAGTATTTATTTCATC